CTGCTGTGTAGTATTCCAAAGAGCACATATCCCGTAATTTCTTTATCCAGTCTTCTGTTGATGGGCATTTAGGTTGACTCCATTTCTTAGTTATGGTGAATTGAGCTGCAATAAACATTGAGGTGCAGATAGCTCTTTTATTTACCAATTTAATTTCCCTTGAATAAATTCTGAGGAGTGGGATGCCTGGGTCATATGGTAGGGCTATATTCAGATTTCTGAGGTATTTCCAAACTGTCTTCCATAGTGGCTTTCCCAGTTTGCATTTCCACCAACAGTGGATTAGTGTGCCATTTTTCTCACATCCTCGCCATCATCTGTTGTTTATTGATTTTTTTTTATTTTTATTATTTTTTTTTGACAGGCAGAGTGGACAGTGAGAGAGACAGAAAGAAAGGTCTTCCTTTGCCATTGGTTTACCCTCCAATGGCCGCTGCAGCCAGCACACTGCGCCTATCCGAAGGCAGGGGCCAGGTACTTATCCTGGTTTCCCATGGGTGCAGGGCCCAAGTACTTGGGCCATCCTCCACTGCACTCCCTGGCCACAGCAGAGAGCTGGCCTGGAAGAGGGGCAACCGGGACAGAATCCGGCGCCCCGACCGGGACTAGAACCCGGTGTGCTGGCGCCGCAAGGCGGAGGATTAGCCTAGTGTGCCGCGGTGCCGGCCTTGTTTATTGATTTCTATGTGGAATCTATTCTAACTGGGGTAAGGTAAAACCTCATTGTGGTTTTGATTTGCATTTCCCTGACAACTAGTGATCCTGAACATTTTGTCATGTGTCTGTTGGCCATTTGGATTTCCTCTTTTGAAAAATGTCTGTTTAAGTCTTTGGCCCATCTCTTAAGTGGGTTGCCTTAGTAGAGGTGTTTGTAAGCTAGAATGCCTGGCTACCACCTATGTTGGTGACTATGCAGGTGAAGCCACAAAAGCAGAGTGGGGAATTTGATTCTCCCCAGTGAACGTTCTGTGAGGTAGCTACTAGGTAGGAAAGATCTGACAGTGGGGACCCAAAAGAGCAGACCCCAGAAGGAAGGTGGGGGTTGCAGAGACAAGCTGAGACTTGTCTGCCATGTGGGGACTGCACCTAATGGGAGTCCAGACTGAGGGACCGCCTGTTTGCAAATGAGTACTTAAACTTTAACCCAGAACTAACGAATGAATTATCTAGGAAATACCCACTAATGAGACCAGGAAATTGAGTTTGTAGGAATTATGGAGAGTTGACGAGGTATAGAAAGCATTTAGAGAAGCAGAGAGAGATGGACATTTGTTGAGATCTGGGGTAAAGAAAAACCTCACTGAGGTCTGGAGCCTGGAGTCCATGGCCTCACTCCAGGCTGCCCCCGATCTCACCGACAGATTAATCTCCGGAAGGGATCAAAATGCAGTTTTCTGCTGACACCCTAACGGGCCATTGCAATCTGGTGTCCAGTCAGGGAGTCCTTGAAAAATGCCAGAGTGGCCCTGGCCTGAATTTCAGGGTTACTCCAAACTTTTCTCCCAACCCCATGTTCAGGCTGACCCCCTAGAAAGGAGGCTGAGTTGGACCAAACCCACATTCCCAGGGCTGAGACAAGAAGTATGAAGAGTGGAGCCTCTGCTTTTACAGCTCATGAGGACTCCAAAGGGGCAGGGAACTGGCTTCCTGCTGGAAAGTGTGTTTCTCAGCCTGGCACCATTCTGGCGGCCGGTGTCTGGTGCCCAGCAGAAGACCTGAAAATGCTGGAGTGTAGCCCCAGCCAGAATCCATCAGTTGTCTCAAGGCCTTCTTCCAGTCCCACGTGAAGGGCCGATCCACACAAGGTGGAGGTGGGGGTGTTAAGATAGAGTCTCAGCTCCAGGGGATTGATCTGACCTTAATCAGCAAGCCTTGCCCCTGAGTCTTAACCGGCAGCCGCACTAACCACATTTAACTGGCTGACAGGAACCCGGTGTTTTGGGAAAATGCGAGTTACTATGCCGGAGAGCAAGACTCTGAAAGAAGTGACAGCAGTACACATGCTCACCGGTCTGGTGGGGTGATCCAGTGCAGGCTGGAGTCGAACCCGAGCAGGATACGCGTCAAGCTGGAGTTGCAGTCTGAGTCACAGCACTAAAATATTACGGGAAAATGGCAGTGGAGAAATTATTGTTACCTTGGTTCTTTGTCTCATATGGAAGAAGAATTTCCAAACGGACAGCAGAGAGATTTACAAAGATTTATTAGAATCAAAGATGTCCAGCCAGAGTGGCATGGAGGGGGGCTTCCAAGAGAGGAAAAAACTCCAAGGTTACTATTGATAAGTAACTACTTGGCCCTCCACTTTTCTGTAAATATTCCTGTTGTTTACTCTGGATTTCCTTTTTACTTATACTGGGAGATTTTATTCCTTCATATTTTTTCATAATGACTATTTTTTGTGTTTCTGTGTGTGGCACATCCTTAAGCATCATTTTTGTAAGGCTGGATGAATGGTGAAAAATTCTTTGAATTTTTGTTGTGAAAGGTCTTTATTTTACCTTCATTCATAAAGGAGAGCTTTGCAGGGTACAGTATTTTGGGATGACATGTTTTTTAAAAATATTTATTTATTTGAGAGGTAGAATTACAGATAGTGAGAGGGAGAGACAGAGAGAAAGGTCTTCCTTCCGTTGGTTCACTCCCCAGTTGGCCGCAACGGTCAGAGCTGCGTCGATCCAAAGCCAGGAGCCAGGAGCTTCTTCCTGGTCTTCCCACGTGGGTGCAGGGGCCCAAGGACTTGGGCCATCTACTGCTCTCCCAGCAGAGAGCTGGATTGGAAGAGGAGCAGCCAAGACTAGAACTGGCGCCCATATGGGATGCTGGTGCCACAGGCAGAGGATTAACCTGTGCCACAGTGCCAGCCCCTCCATTCTCTCTTAGCTTAGTAGGGCTTCTGATGAGAAAGGAGCTGTTAGTCTAATTGGAGATCCTCTGAAGGTAATCTGGTGTTTCTCTTGTGCACATTTTAGAAACTACATTTCCGCTGTTGAAAGTTTGACTACAATGTGTCGTGGTGAAGATCTTTTCTGGTCATGTCTATAAGGAGTGCTATGCTTCCTGTATTTGAATGTCCCTGTCTTTCTGCAAAGTAGGGAAGTTTTCTGTAATTATTTCACTGAGTAGGCCCTTCTAATCCATTCTCTCTTTCCACATCTTCAGGAACCTCTGAGACCCATATGTTGGGTGTTTGATAGTATTTGGTAAATCTCAAACACTGTTTTCAATTTTTCTAATTTCTTTTTTTGGTTTATTTCCAATTATTTGTCTTCTAACTTGGATATTCCTTCTTCTGCCTCACCAAGTCTGTTGTTAAGGTTTTCCACTGTATTTTTGGACATTGAATTCATTTTCAGTACTTTAGTTTGATATCTCCAAGATTTCAATCTCATAGGAAAATTTTGGATTTCTGTAACTCATGAATTTGCTTCTCATTGCTTCTGAGTAATTCTGTGGTCAATATTTTGTATTCCTTTTCAGGTATTTCATCAATCTCTTCATCTTCACATTCTAATATTAGAGTGTTACTGTGTTCCTTTGGGGGAGACTTAATTGCCATCCTTGTTCTTGTTCCTTATATTTCTGTGTTTATTTTTAGGTATTTGTGGAAACACTTGTTGGCTTTTCTTCTATGATGGATTTTATATTTGAACTATGCTCCTGTGGCTTAGTGGAGCATCTGCTCTTTAAGTGAATACCCAGAGGCGTGTGCTGAGTGAGAACAGGGAATACTGGTCAGTCCTCAAGGGTGGGGTTAGAGTCCAGGGTGATACCCAAGTTCCACATGGTAGATCTCTGTTGGCATAATCACAATGTCGCCTGCTCTCTTCCAAGGTGATCAGTGACCAGGGTTAGCCCACATAACCCCCATCCACACTGGCACATAAATCACACAAAGGATCTGTGTGGTCCTCAGTGTGAGCAGGGAACCTCCTGCAGTGACCCACCCCCAGCCATTAGAGAGCTCCTAGCCTCTGACACCATATGCAGTGATTGCCCAGAGACCTAGCTACACCCCTGCCCTATAGTGCAGTCACAGAATTCCCATAGTCACAGTGCACAAGGCTTCCGCACTCATGGAATGCAGAGGATCTGCTCAGCCCCACAAGCCTGCCCATACATGGAGAGAGCATAGATGGCCCAGAGCCAGCTGCTTGTGGGTGCTCCGCCTTGACAGTTTGAGCCCTGGAGCCTGTGATATGTTGAGAGGAGGGGGCACCTTTTAGCCTTATGTGTGTGCTCAGCCCTCCCATCCAGACTCAAAGTCAGAGGGGAATGTGGGTTTTCCTCTCTGGTAAAGTGCCCTGGTGTCACATGTGTACCCGAGAGTTGCCACACTCTCTACTGGTGTCAAGATGGAATCTTCTCCCCGCTGGTTGCCGGGCACCCTTTTTGGGGGATGAGGAGAAAGAAATGTGCTTTTCTTTTTTGGATTAGGTGGGTACCCTGCCCTTGCAAGTCGATGTAGTCTGCAAGGTACTCCCTTAGGCAACATCACCAGTGACATGGGCTGCTGCAGTCTGCTCTCACCTTGGTCTCAGATGCTGGCATCTCCTCTAGTCCTTGGCTGTGGGAGTCACGTGCGATGTCCCTTTTGCTGCTGTGCGTCCGCACCTTCCATGATGATCCCCAGCACCCCACTTCCTTCTGTAGAATTTCCACTGCAGACTTCTCTCCAACCCTTCCCTGGGGATGCACTTCCTCCACTTTTCTTCTATTTTCCCCTGGCCAGAAGCAGCATGCCATTTCCCTATTCAGCCATCTTAGAATCCTCGAGCCATGCTTTCTAATGTGTAACTCAAACAAGTTTCTCGAACACCAAGATTGTGTATATCTGTAAAAGTAGAAGAGGTACTCAAAAGTCTGTGATGATTATTACCATATTGACATTCTCTCATTGAGCAAAATGTTGATTGTAAGTTAATTTTAGAATGCATTCATTATTCTGGTTGCTATTCATTGGATGAAAGTGTAATCCAACTTTTCTTTTTTCTTGGCAGCAACTTGAATTGGTGGAACCAAGTGGCTGGATACATGTTCCTTTAACTGATAATCATAAGAAGCCAACTCGCACCTTCATGATACAGATTGCTGTTCTAGCCAATCACCAAAATGGAAGAGACACTCACATGAGACAAATTAAAATATACACACCAGTGGAGGAGAGCTCCATTGGTAGATTTCCTAGATGTACAACTATTGATTTCATGATGTATCGTTCAATAAGGTGACTTTAAAATGGAACAGAAGTCATTAAACATATCGTTGTTTTATCCTGTTGTTGTGTATTGTATCAAGTATCTTTATTAAAAGTGCATCAGATATTTTGCATTTTTATATACATTTAAAAGTATTTTATTGTAGCTTTGACAAATAAATCAATTTTGGGTACATTACCTTTATTTTCTTTAATGTATAATAAACACCACATATCTAAAAATTTACTTGCTGTGAGGGGCAGGCATTGTGATACAGTGCAGGTGATGGCTGCAGGACCTGGGTTTTTGTTATCCACATAGGAAACTTGGGTGGTGTTCCTGGCTGCTGGCACAACTGTTTGGGCATTTGGGAAGAGAACCAGTGGATGGAATCTGTCTCCCTCGCTCTTTCTCTCTGCATGCCTTTCACATAAATATAAAGAAGCTTAAAAAAAATGGTTTTGGGGATAGACCTTTGGCATGGAGTTAAGATGCCCGTTGGGATGGTTGCATCCTCTGTTGGAGCTCCTGGGTTCTAGTCCCAGCTGTTTCTGATTCCAGTTTCCTGCTATGGAGATGGCAGGTGGTGGCTCAAGTGGTTGGGTTCCTGCCATCCACATGGGAGACCCAGATTGAGGGGCTTTGTCTTGGCCCAGTCCCAGATGTTGCAGGCATTTGGGGAGTTAACCAGCAGATGGGACATCTGTCTATTTTCTCTCTCTCTCTTTCTCTGTCTCTGTCTCTTTCCCTCTCTCTCTCTCTCTCCTCTCGTCCCCTTTCAAATAAATAAAAAAAAATTTTAATGAACTTGAAGCCAATCATTGTATTTTCTCTTAAAATCAAAAGAAATCCAATTGAACTGAAAATTTAGTTGAACTAAAAATTTCAAGATGTACATAATTTTTTACTATCCAGGTGAGTATTTCATATAGTGACCATGCATTATAGTAATGTTTTATTGTATATTTTGGATCAAAACTATATATTTTAATTATTAAAGATTAAACATTAACAAAAATTATTCTTTTTCTGTCCAGATGAAGTATATTCTTTCAATACTGGATTAAAAAAATACTTTGTCAAAGTAAGCTTAACATTAGGTGTCTGATGGGAATAAATCTGACTTTGGGACTATATTTGTCTCATATTCACTTCTACTATATACTTACCACACAAGAGTTGTCTGTATCCTGATGATAATATATTAGAGGCTGCCAGTGTAACGTGCTGTTTGTATCCATTGTAGTGATACTTGCAGAAGAGTTTCAAATCTGTAACTTATGCTGTAGCAGTCTGCAGGGTATAATAAAGCCTGTGGGAACCTTTGAAAATATATATGACATTGTTCTTCATATACAAATCGATGTTAGAGAAATATTTGAAAGTATATTTCTTTCGGGGCCGGCACCGTGGCTCATTTGGTTAATCCTCTGCCTGCGGTGCCGGCATCCCATATGGGTGCTGGTTCTAGTCCCGGTTGCTCCTCTTCCAGTCCAGCTCTCTGCTGTGGCCCAGGAGGGCAGTGGAGGATGGCCTCCACTTGGGATGCCTCCCAAGCACTTGGGCACCTGCAGGGGAGACTGGGAGGAAGCACCTGGCTCCTGGCTTTGGATCGGCACAGCTCTGGCCGTTGCAGCCATCTGGGGAGTCAACCAACGGAAGGAAGACCTTTCTCTCTGTCTCTCACTATCTATAACTCTACCTGTCAAAAAACAAAAAAGTATATTTCTTTCTATGGCCTCAAATGAGTGGATTTGATTTCATATACTACCCACTTCCATATTTATTACTTTTGGTAGAGTACAAACTTTACAGAACTTCCCCAGATTCATTTTTTTTTTCTTTTTTTGACAGGTAGTGTTAGACAGTAAGAGAGAGAGACAGAGAGAAAGGTCTTCCTTTGCTGTTGGTTCACCCCCAAAATGGTCACTATGGCCGGAACTATGCCAATCCAAAGCCAGGAGCCAGGTGCCTCCTCCTGGTCTTCCATGCGGGTACAGGGCACAAGCACTTGGACTATCCTCCACTGCCCTCCTGGGCAAAGCAGAGAGCTGGACTGGAAGAGGGGCAACCGGGACAGAATCCGGCGCCCTGACTGGAACTAGAACCCGGTGTGCTGGCGCCACAGGCGGAGGATTAGCCTAGTGAGCTGCAGCGCCGGCCCAGATTTGTTCTTGCTCAGAAGAGATTATGCAATTGCTCACACATTGCTGGGTAGACTTAAATTTTAAATAGTAAATTAAAAAAACAACAACAATAATGGTGTTCTTATAGAAGGCATTAATTTACCTGGAAACTCTAAACAATGGCTTCATTTATTTCACTGATCAAATACTCTGCTCTTTGTCCCGTGAGTTCCATAGAGTTTTATTCTGTTTTCTTATTTTGTTGTCTTTGAAGTAAAAGGCATTGTAGGTGATCTGTAGCTCACCAAAAAAGCTGTGACCAAAGCTTACTTCTAACCACCAAATTTAGTAAGCTGTAGGTGTGGCTGCCAGGGAGGGTGGAAGAGTGTATTGAAAGAAAACACATGGATATTAACTGACAGAAGTGAAAAGGAATCAAGAAAACAAGAATAGAAATACATACTAGGCATTGATACTTAACAGTCATGTAAACAATAGGGTTTTAGTTTAAAATAAGAAATCTAAAGAATGTAGATGCTTGTGTTAGTGATAATATTACTACATACTGCTTTTTAAAAATTTAAAGGAAAAACAGGAAGACTAATCATTGTTTACATGATTCAGTCTGTTATTTATTATCTCTTGTTACTAATAGTTTGCTAAGAGACTCCTAGAATCAGGAAGATTAAAAAGAAATGTCAAGGCCGGCGCCGTGGCTCACTAGGCTAATCCTCCGCCTAGCGGCGCCGGCACACCAGGTTCTAGTCCCCGTCGGGGCTCCGGATTCTGTCCCGGTTGCCCCTCTTCCAGGCCAGCTCTCTGCTGTGGCCAGGGAGTGCAGTGGAGGATGGCCCAGGTGCTTGGGCCCTGCACCCCATGGGAGACCAGGAAAAGCACCTGGCTCCTGGCTCCTGGCTCCTGCCATCGGATCAGCGCAGTGCGCCGGCAGCAGTGCGCCGGCCGCGACGGCCATTGGAGGGTGAACCAACGGCAAAGGAAGACCTTTCTCTCTGTCTCTCTCTCTCTCACTGTCCACTCTGCCTGTCAAAAAAAAAAAAAAAAAGAAATGTCAAGAAAATTGATAGGGATTTTACTTCTCCATTTCTGTGTTTTTCATATGCCAGCTGGCTAACCATCTTACTAGGCATGAGAAAACTTGATAGCTGCGAATTACAGAGATAATAATTCCTCTTATTATAATTTAAAATACAGATAGACTATGTCTTACATTAACAAAGCATAACTACCTAAAGCAGTTACATTTCAGTTTTTTTTTGTTTGTTTGTTTGTTTTTTGTTTTTTGACAGGCAGAGTGGACAGTGAGAGAGAGAAACAGAGAGAGAGGCCTTCCTTTTCCGTTGGTTCACCCCTCAATGGCCGCTGCGGCCGGCGCACCGCGCTGATCTGAAGGCAGGAGCCAGGTGCTTCTCCTGGTCTCCCATGCAGGTGCAGGGCCCAAGCACTTGGGCCTTCCTCCACTATACTCCCGGGCCACAGCAGAGAGCTGGACAGGAAGAAGAGCAACCGGGACAGAACCGGCGCCCCGACCAGGACTAGAACCCGGTGTGCCGGCGCCCCAGGTGGAGGATTAGCCTAGTGAGCCATGGCGCCAGCCGCATTTCGATTTTAAAAGTGCAAATTGGGCCAGCGCCGTGGCTCACTAGGCTAATCCTCCGCCTAGCAGCGCCGGCACACTGGGTTCTAGTTCCGGTCCGGGCGCCAGATTCTGTCCCGGTTGCCCCTCTTCCAGGCCAGCTCCCTGCTAATGCGCCTAGGAAAGCAGAAGAAGATGGCCCAGGTGCTTGTGCTCTTGTATCCACGTGGCATTCCCAGAAGAAGTTCCAGGCTGCTGGCTTCAGCCTGGCACAGCCCCCAGCCATTGTGGCCATTTGGGGAGTGAACCAGCAGATGAAAGATCTCCATCTCTGTAACACTGCCTTTCAAATAAAAAAAAAAATTTTATAGAAATTTTTATCTAGAATATATGAGGAACCCTTACAACTCAATAGTAAGAAAAAAATGCAATCCAATTTAAAGTTGAGCAAAAAATTTGAACAGATTGCCAGGGAATGATTGACCATAAGCATATGAAAAGATGCCCACTTCATTGGCAAAATACAAATTAAAACCACCATGAATTATCATTACATAGCCTACAGAACAGCTACAATTAAAAAGATAACCCAAGTGTTGGCAAAACTATAGAGAGAGCTATACCTCATGCTGCTGGGGAGGTTATATTAGTGTACAACCACTTTGGAAAACAGTTTGGTAATTTCTTAAAAAGGTAAACACCTACCTGCTTTGTGATCGATCATTTAACTCCCACATATTTACCCAAGAGAAAGGTTATAGAATAACTTACAGCTGGATGTTCATAGCAGCCTAATTTGTAATACCTCAGAGCGTGGAATTTTTGTAATTTTGTTGTTATTTGGAAAACAGGAAGATGGTTCTAATTGTCAGGAAAGGCAAAGAAGACAAACAGTGGAGGAGATAGCCATGGAATAAAGTGAGGGTACTTCCATCTAAGATTGGAAATTGATTAATAGTACTAAAATAATTATCAACTGTTGATAAGCAGCATGTTGATAAGCAAACTATGATATATTTATATAATGAAACACTACTGAGTGGTAAAAATGAATGGCCTAGTGACATACGCAACAACGTGGATAAATTTCCAGAATAATATGTTAAGAGAAAGAAGAGATACAGAAAGAATATATATGTGTGATTTGTTTTTTTTTCTTAGAAAATTCCAGAAAATACAAACTAAAGTGACATAAAGCAAATCAGTGATTGTGTGGATAGGGAGTTGGGAGAAGTAAGAAAGGCAAAGTTATTTTGGGGGATGATGGGACTGTTCATTTTTCTGATTATAATAATGGTTTCCCAGGTATTTGCATATGCTACAACTCATCAAATTGTAGATATTAAGTATGCAGCTTATAATGTGACTCTTAACCCAAGAAACATAAAAATAGCTTATTCTATTGTTTTGTTTATTTATTTATTTTTAACAGGCAGAGTTAGACAGTGAGAGAGAGAGACAGAGAGAAAGGTCTTCCT